AACCCGGCAGCACCCCAGCTGCTCAGCCCCAGGAGTCCTGATTCAGCCGCTGCTGATCAGTTTCAGCAGTGGCTGAATCAGGACGCCTGGAGCAGAGCAGCTAAGGTGCTGCTGGGTTGGTCCAGTAGCGCTGCACCTCGGCGCTGTGGGACCAACCCGGCAGCCCCCCAGCTGCTCTACCCCAGGCTTCGGCGAGAAAAGCCTGGTCTGCTTGTGGGGGGGGAGCCGCGGTCCCGCCACCCGCGTCCTCCGCGGCGAGAAAAGCCGCTCTGCGTCTCCCTGGTCTGCTCGGGGGAAGCACCCCCCGCACCGCCGGAGGCGGCGACAGTGGGGGAGGCACCCTGTACTAGCTGCGCCCTCCCTCCCCAGTTCATAAGTAGGGGTCCGACTTAAGTCGGACTGACGTAACCCGGGGACTGCCTGTAGTTGTCTACACATTAACATCCCTACCCCTCCTGAATCCCAGTCCTCTATCCAATACTTCCTCCTGTACCCAAACTCCATCCTAGACCCTGTATCTGCTCCATTAATATTGTAGAAAAATGCAGCCCCTGATCATTTGCCAAATTCTTGGAGTGCCCCCCCAATCAAAAATTATTGCCCATCCATGAATTAAGCCCTCAATTCTCCTGTGACATGGATAGATACCACTTTTACTCATTGAGAAAACTGCAGCAATGAGAAAATGGAAGACTCCCTGTAAATCTTTAGTGGAGTCGAGAGTAAAAAATCAGATCTTCTAACTGAAGTCCTGTGGCTTAGACACTAGACAATGCTTCCTAATATTAAAAAATGCAAAAATGCCTAATTATTTCTGTTAACAAGCATGACGGGTAGTACATCTAATTTGTGAAGAGTCTGATTGTTCCTGGCATGTGCATTGATCAAGATATAATGCCATTGATTTGAAATGGAATTCTCTCCAACCAACCAAATTCCCAACAGTACACAAACAGTTATGCAAGCACATAATTTTTAAATAGGACTCTTTAAATAGGTTATACTTAAAATATATTCACATTAAAGAAGGATTCATAGGAAGAGACTTTTCTTGAAACCTAGCATGTGTTAGAAATATTGATTAAAGGTCAAATCCTGGTATTATTGAAGTCAATAATAAGACTTTCAATGTGGTCAAATTTCACCTTCAGAAAATAAAACTCTTATTTTTTCCTTAGTACTTGACTTACCAAAGGAGGATGCCATCTGCAAGTGACTTAAAAAGACTGGCATCTGATGGATCCATGGGAAGGAGATGCTTACAGTCAGGGTCATCTTTAAGAGCTTTATTTACCCAGTTAACAAAAGCAACTTTTTCTTCCTCTGAAAAACAAAAAAATTCAAGACTCATCTCAGAGTCAGGAAACCACTTAAATAATCTATTATTACTTTGATGGACAAACGTTATTGAACTATCCATTTAATATCAAAATACTACTTGCCAAGAACAGGAATACGGATAAAAGTATTATTAAAACTGACCGCAATTTAGCGACTCAGATAACGTTAAAGAAGAGAGAAATCAGTACATTTGAAATATGCCAGCGCAGAGCACAGGGGACCCTGCTAAAAGAGTACACCAGTCTCTACTCTGGCTTTCAGTGGCTGACAGCACTTCTAATAATTTGGTCTGAGGTGAAGTCTACGCTAAAGTCAAAGGTCAGCTTATGATATGCAATCCAGCTACATAAAAAACGTAGCTGGAGTTGACACACCTTAAGCCGAGCTTTGGTGCCATCTTCAGAGAGGGAGATCAATGGAAGAAACACTCCTTTGGACTTCCATTAGTCCTCACATGGAGCAGGAGTTCTGGCATTGATGGGGTGCCTTCAGCATTCGATTTAGTGGGGTCTTTATCAGTGCTGGAGCAGCCTCTGTCTGCAGTGATTCTCCCCCTTCCCTTCTTCCTCCCTCCCACCCCCGGCAGCCTCTGGGTCTGCGAGGGGAGCTGGTTTTTAAACTGGCTCCTCTCACAGACCAGCTGCCGCCTCTGATACAGAGGAAGCAGTGCAGGATGGGAGGGGGCTGGATTGTACTGGCTGCAAGGCCCCGCCCCCAGGGACTACAGAATAGTTGACTAACAGCTAAGAATTTATGTGGTCAGTCAACTCTTACCCCCTCTCTAACATCCCTACTCCAGCAAAGCACTTAGGCAGATGCTTAACTTCTGTGGTACTACTCTCGTAAATAAAAGTAAGCATGTGCTCAAGTACTAGGATGGATCAGGGCCAGAGCACTCAGGACCTTGCAAGATAGACCCTTAAATGGAAACCATCAAACTAGAATCTAGTCAATTTAACAAAGAAAGCTAAAAATCCTTTCAGGTATCTGGCCTGCTCCTGAATCCTTGTCCCATTTTTCATAATCTTTTACAAACACATTTTCCTATTTTTAAAATAAAAAATGTGCTTCTCTTTTGAATTTGCTGTGTGAGAGAGACACGCAAACAAACAACAGTAAATTGAAACCTATAGTTATACACACAAAATGGTAACCGTACACATCAGGTAAATAGGTGCATAATGAAAGATCTACACATGCATAAATATTGGGTCTGCATGTACTAATAAATACATATACACTAAACCAAGGCCCTAGATATCCAGAAAGCTTTGTTTTACAAAGCCAGGAATGCAATATCCCTAAGAACTGACATTTATCAGGTTAAGAGTAGTTCATGCAATTTTTTTTTTTTGTATTGCATTTTCTTTCCATCATCTAATATGAAACCAGAAAACAAATAATTGCTGACATTTTCTTTCCACCATCTAAAATGAAACCAGAAAACAAATAATTGCTGATGGGACCCTCCTTTTCCCAAGCAGAAAAGTATAGGTGTCTTGCTATCTGGGCAGCTTGTTCTCTCATATAGTCACACAGTTCTACACATACCATATGTTGTCAGAGAGCTATTTGGCAGGCTGCGATAAACAGGATATAGGCAAATTTAAGGGAATCCAGAGAAGCACAACAGAAATGAGCAGGATGAGAAGAGGGAAAGAACTGAATAAAATTGCAGACATACAAAAAAATTACTAAGTCAAGGAATAAATATCTAGTGAGTGCAAACATCAACAGAGGAATTCTTTACCATAGGTGAAGAAAGTACAATTACAAATAATAGGATAAAATTAAGAATGACAATATAGGTTAAATACTAGGAAAAACTTCCCAATTAAATGTATAGGATATGCAAAAATCTCCCCAAGGGAAGTGGTTGAAGTGCCATTGTTTGTTACAGTTAGAACTAGACTGAACAAAGCTTTAGAAAAAAAACATACTGCAATGAACAACTCTAGATTTGCAGGGACACAGATTAGAAGATCTAACTGGCTTTTCCCATTTACAGCCTCTACTATTAGAAATGGGAAAAGCCTTTTTTATTTCTGATTCTTCACTATTTAAATGAAAATGTGAGTTCCCTTGTATACGTATCAACAGGAGTGTAAAAGAAAAAAAAAACAACTCAGCAGTTCACAGAGTAGATCAACAAACCAAACACAAATCCTGAGTCTAAAATATGCTACAAAAGTCTTTCTATTTTTAATTCTTTCTTCCTCATAATAAGAGTTCTCTTTATACTTTCTGCCCTGGCAAAAAAAGTCTGACTTACCTCTAGGAGCAGCAAAAATGGTGACAAGCAAACGGAACAGTACAGTCTCTACAAAACAGAGCCCTGGCATTTGTACTGCAGAGATTCCGCCTCCTATTGGTTTGTTTTTGAGAGAAGATTTTTTCCCCCCCATTATAGTTTTTCTTCTTTTTTCTAGAACCAACAAGTGTTTTACCTGCATAAGAGTGCTGTGTCCCCTCACTGGAAATTGGTGAAGTTCCTCCAATCGCTGTAATACCCTGTTTTTTGTTTATTGATTTTCGGAATGATTTGCTAACCTCTTTACTTTTCAATTCATGAATAACCTAGAATAGGACATAAAAAAGAGAGCATTTCATCAGTTAACATAACCTCAGGGTGAACATTAATCTATTAGCTCACCTAACTACAGTAATACTGGTAATTATTTTGACTCTTTCTTTGAAGATTACCATATCGATATCTATCTGTATATTTTAGAAATGTGCATCTGTCTGTCCATCTGTGAGTCTGTTTATCCTCTTAGGACCACCAAATTTGGTATACAGCTTCCTCTTAGCCTAACTTAAAGCAAGGTTGGAAGTGCTGGGAATGGGACTGTTTTCCATAACATGAAAAAAAAATACAGAGAGTAGGGATGCAAAAGGGAAGGGCACAGAGAGAAAGGATGCAATACTAAGAGTGGACACTAGGGGGTGTCTAGACTACAGGGTTTTGTTGACAAAAGAACTCAGCAGTTTTGTCGATTGCGGTAAACCTCATTCTACGAGGAATAACGACTTTTGTCGACAGAGTTCTGTTGACAGAAGGCGTTATTGCATCTACACTGTCCTTTGTGTCTACACTCTCATGTTGACAAAGCGGCTTGCTTTGTTGACAGAACTGGAGGTAGTCCAGATGCTCTTTGTCAACAGAATCTTTGTCGACAGTACAGGGTACGTCTAGACTACAGGCTTTTGTCGACAGAAGTTTTGTCCACAGATACTGTCGACAAACTTCTGTCAACAAAGAGCATCTAGACTACATCCAGTTCTGTCGACAAAGCAAGCCACTTTGTTGACATAACAGTGTAGATGCAAAGGACAGTATAGATGCAAGAACGCCTTCTGTCAACAGAACTCTGTCGACAAAAGGCGTTATTCCTCATCGAATGAGGTTTACCACCATCGACAAAACTGCCGCGTTCTGTCGATGTTCTGTTGACAGAACTCAGCGGCAGTGCAGATACAGGTATAGTTTTGTCGACAAAAGTCCATTTTTGGTCGACAATACCCTGCAGTCTAGACACATCCTATCTGTCGACAAAAACCTGTAGTCTAGACGTACCCTGGGAGCGGTGAGCCTGCAGGGAAGAACTATAATGCAGAGTGTCCACTGTGGGCAGCCGCACCACCAAGAGAGTGGGCAGCAGAGCTGGGGCTTGCCATTTTGCCTGCCACCATACCAGATAAGTAGCCCTTGTACCCTAAACCCTTTGGCCACAGCACTGAAGGGATGGAAAGAGAAGGCCCGTAGCAGAGGAGGAGGGATTGGGGGTAGAAAGAGCAGTCCCCTGACAGCTAGAAGGAGAATGCTCCTGCTGGCCAGAAGTGAGGGGGAAGAGAAAGCCCCTGCCGGATGGAACCCTCTCCTCTGCCCACCTCCTTATCTCCCAATCCTCACTCTCACAATCCCCCATGCTCCCAGCCTCCTGCCCTGCCTCCCCCTTTGCCAAGGCTCTGCCCTGACTTCTGAACCCCCCACACTGCCAGCTGCCTGCCCTGAAGGACATGGGCATTGCCAGGTAAGTCTTCTGATAATACAATATGAGGTGGTTATGGAAGTATGCTGGTTTTGTGAATAGCCAAGACTCGAGCCTTACAAAGCCGTGTTATTAATCTCTAAATATTAGATTCGCAACCCACAACCCTCTTCACGAATATTTTGATTTAAAAAAAAACTCTTTAAATCAAAAGTAATTTGGGGGAAAACAGATTATTAATATTTCTCCACTCAGTTTGTCTTGCTTTTTATATTAGGATGTTACATGTTACTTAGACCTGGTCTGCACTAAAGGGGAAAGTCAACTTATGACACACAACTCCAGCTACTTGAATTATGTAGCTGGAACTGAAGTACAGGCAGTCCCCGAGTTACACAGATCCGACTTATGTCGGATCCGCACTTACGAATGGGGCTTTTCTTGCCCCGGAGGACAGGAGCAGCGGGACGCCCAGATGCGCCGCGGTCCCGCCGCCTGCGTCCTCCGGAGCGAGAAAAGCTGCTCCGCGTCTCCCTGATCTGCTGGGGGGCCAGCGGCTGAATCTGGACTGCCTGTCTTG